TGAAGTACATTTCTATTTATATGACTGAAGTACATTTCTATTTATATGACTGAAGCACATTTCTATTTTAGAATAGAGTAGATAAAATAGACTTTTCTTGAATTGCGAATACATCTGGCCTGGTTACTTTCAAAATCACATTCCTTGGTAATAGAATTTCAATGATGTGCACTCTTTTTATACATAAATTACTAAATCGTATTCTACAGAGGTTATGGCATGCAGAGACTGGTATATCCAGATTATAACAGATTGAAGGCAGGAATGGTCGGTAATATATATGAAATAAACGAGAATCGTGAAGACATCCTCCGAACGTCAGTGAGCCCTTCCAATCAATCGTCACAAACAGCGTCTGTCAGTAATGCCAGCACATTAAACCATAATGATTCCAATAATGACAAGGAGACATCTTACGGATACAATTTGAAAAAAACATCACTCGGCATGTTAAAAACCAATATCTCGGATAGAATACCGATTAAGAAGACATCATACGTCAAACAAAGTCCCAATGAATCACGTATAAAAACTGCAAAGATAAATAATCATATTAAGAATAAAGGAAAGGTCGTGAAGATAGTAAGAAAAAAGAAAATCGTGAAAAAGAAAATCGCCTCGAAGAAGACTCCGACACAAAATAAAATACGGTAAGTTTGGATGTAATGTATATATATTATTTCCGCTTCCATAATGATATCCATTACGCAGACGTACCTTGTTCTTGCATTGTTCATATAATCGTTGGTGGTCACGAGTGTATAGGTCTCGCATTCTGTCAACGATGCACCTTTTCACCAATTATCGACAGTATTTTTTTATCATAGATACAAAATACTCAAGTACCTTGGAAGTGGTCAGCCACTGACGCTGACAGATTCAGCCAAGAAGATACCCAAGCAAGCTACATGTGCCGTTGTCGGCAACAGTGGCGTTCTTCTGGGCAGCGGTTGTGGTTATGAAATAAACTCTAATGATTTTGTGATTCGAGCGAATATACCTCTGATAGAGAACTACAGTAGAGATGTTGGCAACAAAACTAATGTTGTTTTAATAAATCTGACAAGAGTGCGGGATCTCTATAAATATGCTCAGAAGAAAAGTTCTTCGCCGAATCTTCTAGAGAACTATCGGTTTCTGAATAACAGTGTAATTTGGAACGCAAAAGCTCCATCCAAGGGTTATATATCTAACGTGCTACAATTGTCACTGGATTACCTCAAATCACAATTTGACTTGCATTTTAAAATTGTACATACGTATAACAACCCAGCGTACAAAGCAGTGTTGAGGTAAATATATTGAGTCATTGGTCAGTTGCAGCCTGGTTTCCAAGCCCGGAACATGCCGGGCGGGTGAGCTGTTATGCTTTCAAGCAGAGCGGAAATACTATAATTTTATAGACTCTTGCGTATTTCGGGTAACATGATCGGGGCCTATTCCATAAAAAATACCGACAAAAACCACGCAACTTGAAAGCATTGTATAGATCTGTGGCGTTGCGGCATCAGTGTTATATTTTAGCAATGGGGATTATTACGTGAACCAGTACGCCGCGGATTCGAAAACAGGCCATTGGAAAACGAAAATAACATGACAATTCTATTGATTACATTAAATGCAAGTTTACCTGCCAATAGTCACTCGACAAGAGTGTTTGACATTCCTTCTTTTATTCGTCGTTTGTTGCACTAATCAAAATAGATGCATAGATGTATCATGGTGGTATTGCGGTATTAAGAAAACATAAAAAAGTGAAACGACCAGATATTGTGAATGGGTAGTTCGTTTAAAAAAAGTTGTGAAATATACTAGTTATTAACACTGTCCATATTTATATATATATATATATATCTGCTTCACTTTGGTAGGGCGCTTTCTATTGCACTTACTCAATGGAAATTTCTGTGCAAGGCGTCAAACCTAATTGATGCAGACTCAACAAACAACCCAACAGCTTGACGAACGTGCTTAAAACACATACACATACAAGGAATGCGCTGAATTCAGTTGAACCTGAACATTTGCTAACTTGTTGCATGCCTTGTGTTTTCTACTTTTACCCCAGGTTCATGAGTCTGCACAAAACCCCTACTTCTGGAATGATGACTGTGTCCGCCGCATTAACTCTCTGCCAAGCTGTCAGTGTATACGGTTTTTATCCTTTCGTCATTGGTCCTGATGGTAAGGTGGTGCCATATCATTATTATGGGGAACCAGCAACGTTTACAATCAAGTCGTTCACGAGTATACATGACTTTAATGAAGAATACTCACGACTACAACTATTGAATAGTACTGGAACTTTAAATTTACGTGTCGGAAAGTGCATGTAATCAAAATTATTTCGCGATTGTTCGAATCATGAATTAATGAAAATATTAATCTTATAATTTATAAGTATATAAGATAACCCACCAACTTGCAGTTATACACCTGTAACCGTATCGCAATAAGCTGTAGCGTGCCGTAATGGGTATTTGAATTTTACCATATTAGGAAATGCAAATCCGAAATTTAGAACGATTAGCCAATGATAAAAAAAAAAAACATGGCAGCCCCCAGCGCGAAGTTTGACCGGATCCCACTGAAGTGTTTTCGGCATTCCAATGATGTATCCTTGGGAAGAAGAATTTATATGCACATCGAATGATATATACTCCACTGTCTTCGTGCATACTTTTTGGTGTCCTCGTAATAACCTCACGTGGTACAAATGATGGTACCTTATTGGGTATTCCAGGTAACACCTTCACCAATGCCGTGCGGTGACGATTAGGATTACAGTGTTATACTGGTACAAATGTCTAATAACCTTAGAACGTTTTGTGATTTCAATTTTGTACGAAACCACAATGCAAGGACTAACGTTGTTTTTGGTCGTGTAAAAAATTACTGCCTATAGTTTTAGCTGACATGAACATGTCAATAGAAGTTAAATAAGAACACAATAAATTCACTACATGACACCACTATCATATTATGAGGTTATTACGAGGATACTTCAACGGATGTCGATGCGACGGCGTACTGTCTGAGTGCATACTTTTGGTGTCCTCGTAATAACTTCATTATTATACATTTCTGCCTCTCAATGATACATCATGGTAATGCCTTAATAAAAATGTTCAGAACACAATCAACGAACTTCTTTGTGTGGAGTCCGGTCAAACCCTGGTGGCAGCCATGTATTTTTTTATTTTATTATTAGGACGCTTACCCGCGTAATCATTCCATATTTGGAATTCGCGTTTCCTATTGATAGGATAAAAATACTCCATAAAATACCGCAAAATTACTGCACTATAATAATAACATATAATGTATACCGAATATATACTCAATTTCAATTACATTCTATTTACGGGGAAATTAATTGATCAATATTTTGCTGTATAAATCACAATATTAAACCCGATTTGATTAAAATAGGCTTCAATTTTTATTTAAATGTTTGTATTTGTTCATTATTACCGCAACTACCGCCTAGCGCGGGTCCCGGGATAATTGCGTCCAGGGTTAAAACAACAAAGCTGGTTGTTACAAGACTGCTGTCGCCTGCAATACCTGCAATATTTGCACAATTCCATCAAGTTAGAATGTCATCAGAATTGATGCAGCACATGACATGGCAAAAGCAGATGCCCCAGTTTCACCTGTGGTAATGATGAGTATTACAAAAGTACTTTTTGACGCTTTACTTCGGCAACAAGAAAGAGTTGAACTGAGCGACAGCAAAATGTCAGAAGTTGAGTACTGGGTACGCCTGTGGCTACATTACAATGGTACTATCCAAACAGTTGCACAGATCCGGGCCAGCATACACTCGCATGATGCAGACTTTGTCTACATACAATGAAAAGAGCTGAAAACGAGTCTCCTCGCTGATAGAGTAGCATTAACACACTGTTCAGATCAGTCAACCAACTTACAAGATGATACCTCGCTCACATAAATGCCTATGTGTGTGAAGACGAAATCGAATTGAGGAACTCAAAGTAAAGAGTGCCAAGACACATCGCAGCAAAAGAACTTGCAGCTTAAAGTTATATTGTCTTCATTTTTATTAAAAAAAGTATCTTTGCCTGTTAAAGAAATTTAGGATTTGCATCACTGTCGGCAGTTGCCAAGGCAGTGTCTGGCGCTGGGGAGGTGGTTGACTGCAAACATGAAGGACATTGCTAACGACACTGCTGGTGTTACTGCAGCGATTGTTCCAGCAGAAGCCATACAAATGTCCCCGATTTGTTTATTTAATACTATTGTTTTTTTCTTCATTTTAAACAATTGTGTGAATAAAGGTTGCTATATTTGATTTTACCTTACAAGTTTTTTTATTCATTTTACTTGATTACATACCAGCCTTCATGTTTCTGAAATGATCAGAATGGCTATATTTTTGCATCTGACCATGAAATAACTTTGACAAAATATGAACTCTTTTATGGACATGCGTCTGCTTTTGAATAACCATCCCATTATTATGAGGAGTTTAGATTAAACCTGGTTCACAGTGGAGAAATTTTGCAGATTTTTCTAGTGGCAATATGTGTATTCTTTAACAGGGTTCGTACTGGAGAACACTAGAAGATAGTGGATAATTTATACATGAAAACTAAGAGTTATTTTAAAACAGTATGCCTATTTATATAGTTGACACACCATGCTAGGACACTGAACAGATTTTCTAGTGACATTGGGATAACTCAGCTCTTATCCGTGTGGGTGAAAATACCAATTTGATCAAAATTTGTCTAAAATATGGACATCCATATACCAGCATTGACACAAATATACTGAGTCTACTTGGTGGCGTGACGGCAATTGGGCAGGGAGTATCGTCAATTTGTCAACTCGCCTCTATCCTTAACCCACTAACTCAACATATTTGATGATTTAAGCTGTAATGCATTGTAATTAGCTTGGGTCTTGGGTCTTGGTTGAACGTCTCTGAAAGGACATACCGCACGCCAGGCTGACTCAACAAGAATACTGTGACTTCAACAAAAGAGTTAACTATAACAATAAATAAAACTAACCTTTGTAGGTATTCACAATGAAGAAATAACTGTAAGGAATAATTCCAGGAATAAAATGTAAATGTACACATTTCCAATTAGATATGAATCATACTTGGCCTAAAGTATAGCTGCTGCCATACAATAATAATATTAAAACACAGCCAAAACAACCCATACACACTACTAGTAATGTTGCTTCAAAATACCACATGTGCTGTGACAGTGTGCGTTTAAGCAACAAAGTGGAAAGAAAATTTGTTTTTATTCCAATTGAACTGCAGAAATCTTTGGAATACTGTCATTTTGTAAACTGTTGTAGATATGCTTATACTAATCTTTTAGACGTATACCCTCCAAAGTCGTTTTGCTCAACTTCATACGAACTCTGTCACTCTTGGAAACTTCCACTCGTTGATCAACTACCTCATCCCAATCAGCAAGATATTGTATGAAATCTTTTTTGAGCCACTAAAGTTAAATGTATAGGAAATTACGAAATACAGATCTCTTGGAGTCTTTGATCAGCAGAATGGTTGTGTTGTAGCATACTTCGTACGTTGAGACAATCAAAAACATTTCAAAATTTCTGACAAATGTAATGTTGCTTGGTTCCCATTAGCATGAAAAGCTTCTAATGCATTTGCAACTCTTGAGCTAAGAACCTTCAACACTAAATGGTTTAAAATATAGATGAATCTGACTGTATGATGTACTTTCATGTACTAGTTTAAAATTTGTTATAAAAGCCGCACACACCATTTTTCATAATTTATAACCCGGAATTTACCGTTTCTCACATGTGCCACATCCCATCTGTTGTACATTATTGAACCCGCAACTTCTCTAACGGATTTTACAGTACTGCAATTTGCGTAAGCTACATTTGTATGCATATAATGCGAGTAAATCATCATTTCATGTACATGTTGATTTCTTTCTTACGGCATATCACTACAAGAAAAAAAATGCAGACCCTATCCCTTCAGTACTAAACTCACCTCTGTAGCATATTTAACTTTCATGCGAGGAAATGATGACAAATAAACATGTTCATATTTCAGCTTGTTGATTAAAAGTAAACCATTTCATTCTAAATTTGTCTTGTACAAATTTAAGATAGTTGACAATAATATATGTCCACCATTCTTGGTGAGGCATAAGGCGAATTGTATGGTTCAAGTACACCCTTCTCTAACATGCTCTTAACCTCTGACCTCACTACATCTATCATAGCGAATGGTAAAGGAGATGGTTTTGACCGAACTGGTTTAGATGTTACAAACTTAATATATCATGCTCATCGGTTTTCGATTTTCCAGGACAATCAGTGAGAACATGTTTGTCCCTTTCATAATATGCTTTCAAAAGTTTACTTTTTCCTTAATTACATACGGCCTCAGCCATTGCATCAGCAACTGATCAGTGGGAAGTAACACTAACACTTCCTATTCTTGGTCTTCCCATCATAATAATTTGTGTATCTAATCTTTGCCTTAGCTAACTCAGCTTACATGTCTCTTCAACCTCAGGTGTAGTGACCTCCTTTGTCCATAACTCTCTTACATCATCATTGGGCCCTTTACTGTTCTACCATAAATAAGATCGAAGGGTGAAAACCCTAAACTCTCCTGAGGAGCTTCTCTATAGACAAACAGATACCTATCCTATCCTACCTATAATATAAGATACAAAATGTGTCCCTAATTCAGTACGGCATATCGGCATAACCTTGCTAACTCGACCCTCAGGAGAGGTCTTCTGACATATGACCTGCAATACCTTATAACATCATCCTGCATCCCAGGCCATTAGAACTTGTCATTATATCTGTAGTCTGTATCTGTAGGCACAAAGATGACCTGCTATAGGTGACTCAAGATTACTGAACTTATTGAGAACATACACGTCCTCTATAAACATGAGGTGACTGAAACACCCTATACATCAGCCCCTTGTCCATCAAAAACCTTGGCCGATTGTTACGAGCTGTGATTACCTCACACGAACTTCTTATCACGCTCTAATGTAGAATCAGACTGCTGTACCTCTCGTACTGCATTCATAGTAATAGGTTTCTTACCACCATTAGTATTAACCATACTGCAATTCCTTAAACTCAAGACCTATAAGTCTATGTAATGGCAGCTAAATTCTGAGTCCTAG